TCAAAATTGTTCAGCTTTATCATAAACATGCCTGGTGTGACGCTTTGATTCATGCATGTTTGAGAAATCCTTTAATCTCCTTGGCAGACGCAGTCAGAGGTTCCTAAATGCTAATTCTCATAAAGTGTCACATATTTCCATAAAACTGCTCTTTGGAGCTGAAGTCTCCAGCTCAGCTCCTCTAGACTAGCAGCGGCAGCAATTAGCAAACGCTCATCATAGGAAGTACTTCAACCTGTGAGGCTTTTCATACCAAACAGTGTAATAATGACTTCCTGTAGGCGGAGCATCGACGAGAGCCAGGGCTTCTTAAAGAGACAGGGGCCCAATTTCAAGGCATCAGACCGTGTTGTCAACATTTCTTTTGAATTCAGTTTGACATGCAGACACTTCAACAATCGAATGTAACATTGTTACTGCATGGAAAATACTTTAACCAACACAAATCCTTTTCCCTTCCCTTCCCAGTTACAATCGTGCTCTACCTTGCGTTGCTTTTAAAAATTTGCAACGTTACCCTTAAAAAAATAAAACAGTGAGACTTACACAGACATGAATGATTTTCTAGCAACGTTTCAACGTGCAGAAAATCTCTGATCCCGCTCAAATCTGTCACATTTCCGGCCTCAACCTACTTCCCCTTCTTCATTCTCAGCCGAGCGGGTCACCAGGTGATGGATGCCTCTTCCACTATCTGCTGTCCTCCTCCCCCCCTTGGGCTCACTTTGACACCCGCTCCCCCTCACCTCCTCCCCCACTCTCACACCGATCTTTTTCCTCCCTGGTTCTTTGTCACTCTTTTTCTCCTGTCCTTTTCCTCAGTAACTGGTAAAAATAGAGCTTCATAAATCATGTATTTTTTCTCACAGCAGAGAGAGAGAGAGAGAAATGGGAAGGAAAAGAAATAAATGAGGGGATGAAGGAGTGGGAGAAAAAGATGTCGAGGGGAGAGAGAGAGAGTCGGGCAGCGGATGGAATGAGAAAAACTCCAGGGGAGAGGAGGGAAGCTGACAGGGGAATAGATTGGAGCGGTCGGCCTCTCGGCTGCCCTCGCCGAGCCTCTTAACGTCGGTTGATTTACCCGGATGGAGGGACTGAATGTTAACTCGCCAGAGAGTGGGGCAGGGCGAGCCGCGAGTGGTCATCTCGCCTGCGGAGCTGCTTGTTGCAAACCCGCAGAGGAGACGTCTTCCTCTGCATCTCAAGGACTCTCTCACTCAGAAACTCGACCCGTCCGCCTCCTGAAGCGGCTCAGTCCCACCGGAGGGCGGGTTAAGTGGGAGAAGGAAACGACAACCACATGACACTTGGAGTCGCAGAGCACCACACAACAAGGCTGCGATGCGTTCAAGATGTTAGCGGTGTACGGCCGAGTCGCTCTGAAACGCTGCGGGTTTCTCCTGGGCTCTTCAGATGCTCCGCTGATTCATTTCATCCCCTCCCACAGGCATTTTAGAAGAGCGTGGCAAATGGATTATATGCTGCTTAAATTACTGTTATTCACACTGTGGTTGTGTGCTGAAACATACAAGGTTCCCATGTCACATCGGTCCAAAATGCGGATATAGGATTGGTCTTAAACTGTGTAGAAAAACAAAACAAATAACCAAAAGCAGATTTGATTAAAGGGACGGTATAATGTGTCCCTAAGGCACATGGCGCCATTTTATACTAAGTTACCTTCAGTAAAATATTCTATATATCAAATATGACTTCAAATAACTTTGACTTTGCAATTTGATGCTTTGAAATTGAGTCCGTCTCTTTAAGAAGCTCCTCCTCATTCTGAAACGCCACCTTCAGGAAGTTATCACAACATTCCTCCATCAAGCGTTTTTTTTTTTTTTTTTTTTTTTTATATCAGTGTTTCATTGACAAGCAGCTTGTATAATGAGGTCAGCAGGTGTTTGCTAACTGCTGCTGCCACTAGTCTGAAGGAGCTGAGTGGGGGAGTCATTGTCTGTGAGGCGGGAGCTCGGCTGGAGGCCTGCAGCTCTGAGGAGGAGCTTTGTGGAAACAGGCGCCGCTTTGCGAGTGCTGGTGTTTTTACAAACCCCACTGGTTGCCATGAAGATTAAAGAATCTCTCAAACATGCACAAAAGAATCAAGACACTATTAGTTCCTCTGGTTCCTTTGTCATTTTCAGCCATAGCTCAGCAAATAAAGCCCCGTTTTGTTTTGTTTTTTGTTTTGGTTTTTGATCGTTCGAAACGCTGCAGGAAGCGGACAGACTCCACGAACGCAACGAGAAGACCGCCGCCGCCACGCCGTCAAACTGGTTTAAATTTAAACGAGAATCCCAAGCAGCAGGCTGCTACAGTCTGCTACTCACAGACACAAGTGCTCCCTCCCGCTGCAGAGTAAGTGAGGTCAACCTGTGTGTTAATAAATGATGGCTTCTGAGTGGAAACCTGGTCACCGCGGGGATTCGGGGCGCGAGAGTGAAAAGTTCAGCAAATATACAGGAGCGAGGAGCAGATCCAAGCTCTGTGGCTCCAGAAGGAAACAAGGCCCTTCATATTTTATGAGCTCGCCTCTCCGCCTTCGCATGAGGGCTGCGAACTACGCTGAGGGTTTTATCACACTGCACATTACGGGTCACTGCCGCTTACCAGTAAGAGACAGATTTGAACAAGACATGCTGGGAGAACCTGTCTGCAGAAACAACTAGAGGGATCTTTATCTTCCACCTGTTTTTTTTTTTTTTTTTTATGGTTCTTTCATGTGTTTTTACCACTCAAAGGCTTAGATGTGGTAACGTAACACCACGCAAATACTTTCTATTTGTTGGACCAACAAAAGACGTGTCTGATCGATGCTGTGGGGACAAGCAGCCGTCGGGTCATGAACATGTTTGACGTGATTTCTTGGTTTGGTTTTCTTCTACTCCTTACAGTCCAGTGGACTCGGTTTAAAATTCCAACATTTGTTAAATTTTTAGTTGGTGCGATTTGCTTTCACAATGCACTGAGTCAAACAACCAGGAGCCATTTCTCCTGTTAGCGTGACAAAGCAGCTAATGTTTGTTTCAGCTGTATTGACCCAGCTAAAGCAAAGCTGCTTTAGCGGTTTCCGCTTTAGGACCAGAGATCCCTTCAACTGAACCGAGACCAAAGTTTGCAGGCGGTTTGTCAGTGCTTCTTTCAGGTGCTAGCTGCGCTAACAATGCTAGCTTCCAATCCTCTGTTGTTCATGTTTGTTACACCTTCTAAAACCATAGGAAGACCGGGAAAAAAGATTTTCAAAGCGGTTCATTTTAGTTCTTGAATCTGACTATGATGATTACTGTGCCTTATCTGGTTCTTCAGTTAGTTATCACTGAATGTGGGTTAATTTTCCAGTCACATTCCCACTGATCGTGTTGTAAAGAAACCGTGTCAAAGGAGAATTTCTTTCTCATCTGGCGCAGACAATAAAGCATATCTATCTGCCAGAGAAGCAGTTGATCTGACTTTCTGCTTCAATAATTGAATGGCTACGGCATGTGTAAAAACACAGCTGAAAGAATAAAATGAGCAACATTACACTAACCGAGTGAAAATATTCTGATGCTTCATTAAAAAGGCTTAAAAACACTTCCCCATGGAAACCAGTCCTGACAGCTTCAGGTCCTTTTGCAAATTATTCCAGTAAAACAGCAGCTGCATATCTGAAAGCGCCTCTTTCTGATTTGGTTCAGACTGAACAGTGGCTCGTGTAAACACATGGAAAATGTCTACAGACAGACAAAGGTGGATATTTTGCTGCGTCATGCAGAGATGTGTGAAGTGCACCGTTTCCCCAGCCAGCAACGCTAACTAGCGATAGCATAGAGATGGTTAACTGCAGGTCTGGTGCAAACAGCAGTTCGCCGTAAATGAACAAAAATGGAAAATGCTAATCTGGAGAGAGAACAAAGGTACTCCAGCAAGGTGCTCAGGGTGTTGGGCTGGTCATTCCTCCAGCTGCCAGTCGTGTTTTTGACTCGAAACATGTTTAAGGTTGACAGGAATTTTGAAAATATCACCTGATAGTTATGCATTATTGGAAGACTGCAAGATTAAGGCCCAAACACAAATAATAAAATTAAAAAGGGTAAAGGAAGAAAAGCATTTCTGTCTGTTTTGTTTGGAAGGGCTTTAGAAAAGCTGTGTAGCATTGTTATTGTTATTGAATTATATTTCTTTGAAGTAGCTAACGCTCTTACCTTGTAGCAGGTCCTTTGTTCAAGTCTTGATTGGCTTCAGGTGTGTGTGGGTGTGTGTGTGTGTGTGGGTGTGTGTGTGTGTGTGTGTGGGTGTGGGTGTGGGTGTGGGTGTGTGTGTGTGTGTGTGTGTGTTCATGGTTGTTAGTACTGTTTGTATCTGTGCCGTCTGGTGTCCCTGACTGCTGGTGTCAGTCCGGTATCTCCAGTGGGACACGGGACTGTCAAGGTCACCACTGACAGCCAGACCGGGTCGACTGGGAGTAGAAATTGAATGTATAGAACAACATTCTGAGGTTTCAGCAAAGAGAACAAACCCAATTAATAGCGGTGCAACGATTGCAGTTTTCTAGTCCGCTGCCGATTACTGATCTGTAAGAAGCCTGATCTGCCAATACCAATGTTGGGTGATACTGATTTTAATTGGTCTGAAATGTTGTTCAATATCCAAAAAAAGTCACTGAATTGGCAACAATTCAGTGCACAGCAGAAGAGGATGGTGGTTGAGTTGTAGATAAGATCGGCTTCACACGTAAGTATCAGGCCGATCACATGGAGGAAATTCTGGCCGATTTATCGGTGCACCCCCTACTAACTAAAGCCATATCCATCACTGTGCCACGTATTTGGTTTTCAAACCCCCGTCTATAATGAGCCTGAGTGTGTTTAGCAGTTGACATCATAACAAAAGCCAGAAGAACAGTTAAGTTTTGAGGATAATGTTAATGTAAATGAGAACCTGCAGGAATGTTCCTTCTAGTCAGAGCTGCTTTCAGTGTGACGGTTCACCAGTGTGTGTCAGTGAATGATGCTCACCAGGGCGCTGAGTCGGCTGCGGGCGTTCACCGCCTGCTTCAGAGCCAGCTTGATCAGCGACGGCAGCCTGAGAACAACGGCCTCCATATCCTGCTCCCCTCTCATGCCTCCTGCCAGCTTCCCCAGTCCGTCAATGTAGCTCCTCCAGTGGGGCTGAACCTCGGCGGCGCCCCCCAGGCAGCCCTGCATCGCCGTCTGACAGAAGCCTCTGCAGGCCGGCGGGCTGAGCATGCCCTGACAGTGCGGGCAGTACCACAGCCTCAGCAGGGCCCGGCCGCAGTCCCTGCTGGGCCGCAGATGGTCCGTGGTGTTGACCACCTCTATGCCCAGGTTGAGCGCCTGCAGGAAGACCCTTGTGGCCAGAAGGGAGCGAGACAGGCGGGTCATGATCAGCTTGGGGTAAGGCCCAAACGCTCCAGAATCCTTCCAGGCTCCCCGCACGCACTCCTCGGATGCGGCGGACGCACCGCCGCCCAGCAGCCGGCGGTACATGAGGGGGAAGAGTTTGCCGAAGAACGCCGCCACCATGTGGTCCACCGTGGAGTCGGAGCCGAGGATGTAGAGCGACATGTCCAGGAAGAGCTGCCCCACGGAGCTCTGCGCCCCAGGGAGGAGAGCCGGGAACTCCGACTTCAGCACGGTCAGGGTGGAGTTACGGCCGTGACGCAGCACCAAGTCGAAGGCCTCTGCAAGGAAACGACAGAGCACAACGAGAACCAGTCAACTGAGGCGAAGCTTGTTATCATCCACCTGGTAAATAACGCGCAAAAAGTGTTTACAGATGTGCCAAACTGTCAGAAATACAGATCATAAAATATACAACACAGATAGATGCTTCTCCCTCCTCAACAATCACAAGAGAAACACACACACTCTCCCACTCTTGTTCGATTTACCCGGTTTTTCTTCATCCACTGTTTTCTCTTAAGGGATTACTTCTACATGTCCACATAAAAAAAAAAAAAGGGAAAAACTCTGCACTAATGCATGACAACTTGAAACAAGTAGGCAACGGCAGCCTCAAAGAAAACCTTCGCGAGAGAAAAAGCATTTAGGTCGATAAATTTGTTTGGCCGTGAAGAGTTTCTTTGAGGAGAGAGAGGCATGCAGAACAAGTGGGGATTGTCGATGCGCAGAAAGAAAAAATATAATACTAATAATCAGAGCCATTTCCAGTCACAAAGAGACGCCTTATCAACAAGGTGGCACGAGGCGGCGGCGCGCCGCCATCGACCTGGTGGCGCAGCGACAGAGGGCCCAACAACAGAGGGGATTTAAAGCTCCATTATTGAACCTAGCAGGGGAGCTGAGAGTCGGTGAAATGAAGCTTTGGACCAGAGAATGGCTGCAGACGCCTGAAATCCCATTTACGACGCAGCAAGGCCACTTAATCACTCCGCCGAAAGTGGCGGCCGCCAAACTGCTCTTTGAGGACGGAAACACTGGTTGAAGTGACGTTTCGACGGACTCGGTTTTTGGGCCGTTTCATCTTTCTCATTTGGTTTTTCTGCCTGGACAGTTTCATTTGTTTCTTGTCAGGATTCTCTGGGGTCAAATGAGGCTCGTCGGCAGAGTTTTAGGTCTCTTGGGGAAAAAAATCCCAGAGAAACAATCCGACAGCTCTCTTTGTTGGTGGGGTTATGTTGAACTTGTAATGTGATTCTTTTTTTTTATTATATATTTATTTTTTTTGGCTTGCAAGTTCAAAGGCATCTGAAATTAATATCAGTTTTTCATTATGGAAGTGGAAATTTCATTTAGCTCCGATAAACTCTGGGAAGAAGAAGGAAAATGTTGCTTCTAGCTTTTGGTTTTGCTACGTTTGGGACTCAAAACAGAGACAGGAGAGGCAGAGTGACAGTAAAACAAAGATCGGTCACGACTCCTCTTCTTCCTGCCTGCTCAGAGTCACTACCTCGAAAGGTCCTTTCAATTCTTTAGGAATGGTTTTCTGTACGTGGACAGAGGTGGTGATCCACCTTTGTATTGATCAGGTTATATGTTTTAAATCGGTCAATCAGCCTCAGCGGCGCACAGTCCAACGAGACTTATACGATCTTCATCCATCCGTTATCTAACATCGGGTCATCGATTTTGCTGGACGTCTGAAAGAGAAATCGTCCCACAGCACCACAGGTCCTTTGCGACAGAGAGGGCAAGGAGGGCGCAGTTATACATCTTTATGTGTTCCACATGAGATATTTGGTTGCAGAGAAGCTCAGTCTTACACACGTCAAACTATTGCACAGCTGCTGCACGTTTCAGACGCATTGGGAGACATGGTAATAATGCTATGACCAATGAATAATTTTGCACTGTAGCAAACACATTTTGATCACAAGGCAGCAACTGATTAAAAAAATCTATTTCTATTGCTAAAAACACAACTGAAACCTAAATGATAACCCTACCAACAACCCAATAATAACATTTCTTAATGTCAAGGCCGGTTGAACATGAAAGGCATATATGACTTCGGATTACCTTATAAAGTAATGCACCCGGACATGATGCATCAGGCTTCTGTGAAGTCATTGGTGTCAGTATTCAAAAACTTTTAAGGACAGACGCAGACGTAGCACATATGCATCGTACACGTGTTTGGTTCTCATTGTCACACACTGATAAGCAAAAGATTCCCCCATTTGAAGCGCAGCGTTAAATTCCCCCCAATTGCAGGTTTACTTGTGTTCTTAACGAGGACGGAGACTCCTTCTCGACTCGCTGAGGAGCAAGAAGGAGGAGGAGAGACTGGGAGGATGTTTGGGAGCAGCTCACATCTGTTTGGCTTCCTGGGCTGCGGCCGCCCCGCTGTGTCTGGAAGCAGCTCCCTCTGTGATCACTGAGCAGGCAGATGTGCAGATTTCCCACCGAGACGAGAAAGCAGACCGAGAAGCTCAAACACGCAAAACTAAAAGACCTACTTAGGGGCACAAAGTTTTATTTTCCTGCATGGAAACGAGAATACGTCTTTTCCCCTGTTAGGTTATTGATTGGAAACTGCAGGCCGAAATTAAAGCCGTTTGGTTCTTTTCCTTCTTTCTTCTTTTCCTTCACATTTATATATATATATATATGTAAAACTATTCCAGCAAAGTGTGTAATTAAGCCACTATCTGTAACATCTCTTATATCCACTTTGCAGTGGTAAAGAGAAAGACTAGAGGGCTCTTCATAAATGCCTTTCAACGACTCTGACTCACTGGGTTCACGGTGAGAGCCATTGTGAGCCCATTTCCTGCACTCATTCAGCCTCCACGGGATCAGGTATCGTTTAATGGAGGGGAGAGGGGCCGTGTGTCAGGGACCTGTGACATGTTGGATGCAACCACACGAGGTCAAGAGCCCTGCGCTGTTAGAGCCTGGCTTACAATTAGCAGCCACAGCTGGACCGACGGCTGCCGACAAAACCTGTTACTCGTCAAAGTCGCATCAGCCGAACCTGGCGGAGGGAAATCTTCCTGGAACGTCCTTTACCTTCACTGGGATACAGCAACCATCGACTGATGTTTACGCCGAGGATTCGAGGCCTCTCGGCTTATCGCCCTTATCAGATCCTCAAGACATAACCTGGTTTTTGTCAGGTACTCCGTCAGATGGCGATATATTATTTATGCATGCGATGTTCCTTTTGTGAACGCCTGCTGTCCTAATGCGTTTCTGCACAGCTTCTCGTTTTTCACCCACGGTAACCAAAATCTCAACGAGTAATTTTGGTCTACTGTCAAGAGCAAATATCTTACCAAACTTGACTTACACGTAGTTTTGTAGAGGCTTGTTTTAGGTGAATTATTCCTTAATATATTTGACAAAGTACTTGCTCCATTGGGAGAATCTTTAACTTTGAACAAAACATTTTTCCCATGTTATAAATTTATTAATTCGCCAATGATACTAGTACTTTTTCTATATATGGAGGAATTATATGCTTAAAATAAACTGCTATGTGTTGCTGAAAAGTTACTTGTAGGTTAGTTTAGTCTTATTTCAAGCGTAATAAGATGTTTGCACTAGAAACTGGAGCAAAACTACTTGGCGCAAACAAGCTCATCCTGATTCGGCGACCGATGCGTCAAACTGAACTGGATGAAATACGTTGCTGTCAATGAACGTCGACAAACACCCCATCACTCTGCGTGTCACATTAACCAGACACTGATACAGTCTTACATCAGGCCTGTCTAATCATCAGTCACGACACTAAAGGGTCTATCGGTCTCATCGTAGCGTCGCTCTCACGGCCCCTGACTGACCGTCGTCTGCGGTCGGCGCTGTGAAGACAGACGCGCTTCGTGTTGCCACATCCATCAGCCGTTCGTACTCCTATTATCCCACAGGAGAGGAAAACATCAATAAATTACCAAGCCAATGAGAGAAACTCATTTGGTTGATGGAGCTTCACCTCTAGTTGACCCTGGAACGGACGGACGGATGGACAGACAGGCTTAACCGTTTTTACGTTACAACCACTTGCTTTAAAAATAGTATCTTTTTGCATTTTATGTGACCGGCCAACATAAAAAAGCTCGTGAAGTGTGTGAAATAGAAGGAAGACGATTTTCACGTTTTTTAACAAATAAAACCCGAAATTTACATCTATATTCAGTTTATTTTATTTTGATAGAGCTGACTGAGTGCGGACACGTCTGCAATGTGAGTAGCTTTATTACGCATGGTCGCATCTCCCATGTTTGTTAACCTTCACAAAGGAAGCGCTCAGACAAATCTGAAGCAATGCAAAGTCATAAAACAGCATCTCAAACATTTCACATCTCTCAGCATGTCGTGTCCAGTCCATGACGCAAAAACAGGAAGAGGACAGCGGCAAAGCAAAACCTCCCAACACACGGCCGAGGAGAGCGTCTGGGCAAGAGGCAGGGGTTTGCTCTGGAGGCGCTGCGGAGAATACCAGCTCAGGTTGGAAGTTTGCTGACGTGTTTTCAATGAGCTCTGCACTCCAGAGTCCTGGCAAGAAGGACGCCAGAAGAATTTCATTGTGTCGTTTCATCAAAGCAAAACTCTGCGCGCTGCACACAATGTCACTGTGACATAACAAATTGTGGAAAAAGTTGCAAAGGTGTATGACCAGTTTTGAAAGGCAATGCATCCGCACAGTCAGCAGAAAAATGACAGACGCTTCCAAGCTGCGGCTGGATCCAGTTAGGAATAAACGAACTGGCCAAAATCAGAACGACACATATTTATCCGGGGCAACCTAGTAACCCAAGACTGGCTCGACCCGACGTCCCCTCTGTGGTGGGTCGGCTGTGCGTCCGAGAGCCGGAGGAGGGCGGGGCGAGACCGACCCATTCCAGGAACAAAGCAGACAGGATGCCCGTAAGGCCCAGATAGCATCACCAGCCGACCGTGAGGGCCAATGGACAGCGGGGTGGAAATGAAGCATGGATTAGGTTACTCCATCTGTTAGAGAGCATGTCAGCTGACACGCACACACACACCTACACACACACACACACACACACACACACTGCAATCACAGCGCACAGCAGCAGCCAGGTGGTGACAGCGTGGGCGAACATTTGGCAAACCGTAGCTGGAGGTAAAGGTGTGAGTCAGGTGGAAGGACACACACACACACACACACACACACACACACACACACACACACACATTTCTCTTTTCTTTCATTGAATTGAAATCCTTTGAGTTTCTGAAAGAAAAAAAA